GGAAAAGGAGAACAGTTAACAGTCAACAAGTTACTCACCACAACAGTTCACAGTGGTAGGGCCAAGCGGCAACATTTGCTGTTGCATGTATGCGCCAGCTCAAATCGGGGTGCTACCACGACCTCACAAAATAGCGACGTAAAGTGGAAGCCCTGCTTCTATGTTTCATCTGGTGAGTGCAGGTAGCCGGAAGCCCAATTATTCCCCCCTCCCCCATTTGATGGATTCACTGCCATCTCGAGACTGCGAAGCTGGCCTTGCTATTTTTGACCGAAACTCCGGTGCAATCTCCGGCTGATACTTCGTATCTCTCCTAGTCGGGTACAAATTGGAACACTTCTTTGTGCCTCGGGCTGGAGTTTGCGTACATTTCAGAGAGGACATCTGCTCTTGACGCCTCGGCGGTCTTGAAGGTTCGGATCTGTCCGTCCTTTGACTAGGCGTAGACAGTGACGACCATCCGCGCGTCTACGCGTGCTTCTATAGGTCCCATAGCGGTAATGCCGAAACAGAGAGACTCGTGACCCCGTCCAAATGGCTACAGATTCCTTGCTACAACAGGTCACAGGTAAACAAGATTTTAACGCCCACCTCGCAGAATGGCTCGGTTTACGTTAAACCGATCATACGGGAGATCTGTTCATCTGGACCTGAGCTGACGTATCAACTTCCCGGGGTTTAAATACCAGTGCCCTTAAAAAAAGTATAAGTCCGCCTCCTGGTCCTTCAAAAGAGTTATTGCCAAGGCAAAGTCAGAGCACATAGGCAGAATTGGCAAGAAACTAGTTCACCTTGTAAGGCGTATTTTTGTATTATATTATATTATTTATAATAAGATTATTATAAAATTAAATATGTGTAAAAAAAGTAAAAATAATTGTTAATTTTATAATAAAAATTAATATTAATCATTTAAACAAACACATATATAATATTTAATATAATCATATCAATTTCTTAAAATTTAATAATGTTAAACCTCAATCGATTATTTGTCATTCATTCATTAATAATTTTCCCGTGCATTTTGGTCTCTCAGCAAGGCAGTCCAAGGGAACTTCTGTCAGTCATCTCTTTCATTTCTGCATCTGCATCGGCCAATGACCCAAAGGAGAAAGTCGATATGCTAGGCTCTTTCTTCGCGTTCAACTGGACTCTCGATAACGGAGGTACACACCGCAGACCATCCCGCGGTGTGAGTGCTCCATGATGGAAGTGCGGTTCACACAGCGCTCCTCTCCCTGGACATCCACAAGTCTAAAGGGCCTGACGGAATCCCCCCAATTGTACTGAGGACGTGTGCTGCGGAGTATGCACCGGTTCTTATGCGTCTTTTCCGGTACTCCTTCTACCTAGGCGTAACCCCGAAATCAAGGAAAATGGCTTTTTCCCACCCGATCCTTAAAAAAGACGACCACTCAGATTCTTCTAACTACAGGCCTATCGCCATCACCTCCTTGTTATCCAAACTAATGGAATCCAGTATAAACTGCCAGCCCATACGGTACCTTGAGGATCACCACCTGATTAGTGACCGACAATACGGTTTTCGTCGGGGTCGATCATCTGGTGATGTTCTGGTCTACCTAACTCATAGACGGGCGGAGGGAGAGGTATTAGCCGTTAGTTTGGACATTGCAAAGGCCTTCGATCGGATTTGGCTCAAAGTGCATCTTTCGAAGCTCCCTTCCTATGGGCTTCCCGAGAAATTATGCAATTGGATCACCAGCTTTCTTGCAGATCGGAGCATCAAGGTAGTTGTAGACGGTGCATGCTCCGACTACAAGCCTATTAACGCTGGTGTTCCACAAGGCTGCGTGCTATCACCACCGCTGTTTCTTCTAAATATATATATGATATGTTGCGAACCGGTAATATTCATTGCTATGCGGATGACAGCACTAGTGATGCTGTGTGATGATGTAACAAGCTTGTGTCTGAAGTCAAGTCTCTGCTGGACAAAGTCTCGGATTGGGGGCGATTAAATCTAGTCCAGTTTAATCCTCAGAAGACACCAGTTTGCGCGTTTACCGCTAAAAAGAATCCTTTTGTCGTATCTCTTTAGTTTCAAGGAACTTCCCTTGTTGCCTCAGCCAGTATTGAAATCCTCGGCTGCGACATATTGAGTGACGTTCAGTTTCGTGGTAACTTGGAAGAAAGGCCAAATTGGTCTCTAAAAAGCTTGGCGTGCTCAGCAGAGCGAGATAGTATTTCATGACGGCACACCGCCTGTAACTTTACAAGGCGCAGGTTCGGCCTCACATTGAATACTGTTCTTGTCTCTGGGCTGGGGCTTCCCAGTGCCAGCTCCTTCCGATTTAAATCATCAACGACCGAGTCCTTTCCAATCAACTCGATTCACTGGCGCTGCGATGAGATGTTGCATCCCAATGCATTTTATTTCGCATTCACCACGGGAAGGAATTGTTCGGATTAATCTTAGCCGCCAAATTTCATTAAAGCATATTGCGGCAAAACTCTCGATACCATACACACCATCTAGATGCTTAGCGGTCCACCACTGTGTACTCTATCGCGTATGACCTCTCTGTGGAATAGTTTAACACCAGTGATTTATTCGGACCGATACGACTTAGGGACCTTCAGAAATAGAGCTTACTCCTTTTTAAAAGGCCGGCAATCTACCTGCAATTCCCATGGTGTTGCAATTGTTCAAAGGCGGCGGTAGTCACTTATCATCAGGTAAGCCGTATGTTCGTTTGCACCCTCTCATATAAAAGAAAAACACAAAGCAAATTAGAAATATCTATGGCAAATTATGAGGCAATGTTCAGCACTTGTACACGGACTTTCAATTTTCTGTATGAATACGTGAAAAGTATTTAGAAGTTATACTTCTTTTTGGGCGTTTGGGAAAAATTATGAGAGTGAATTTTTAACGATGCGCGCGCACACCGACAGCTGAAAATGACACCATGAAGTTGTTACAATACGCGCGCACACTAAAACCTCAAGCCACAACTTCTCTGGGTAATGTTTCCTAAATTTTCGTAGGAACTGATTACTATATTTAAGGTAGTTATTTTTATTTATTTATGTTTTGTTACGCTAAAGAAGTATAACTTTTTACTTGGTAGAGCCATGTTGCAGCTATACTAGTAGTATAGTTGTAGCACGAATGGGTTGGCTCGACCGGGGAAGGACCACGTTCTCACAGAGTACCAGCGTAAAATGGCAGCTTGACGCTGCTGTGTTTCGTATAGTGAGTGTAGAGAACCGGAGACAATTTTACTGGAAAAGAGGCATTCCATTTTAGTCCTCACGGGTGACGACGTATCTGCATTTTGATTCTTTATTGAGGATAAATGTGGATGTCTATAGGTCACAGCAACCACCTACCATTAGGTGCACTGTGTGCTCGTTTGTCACCGTATCCTATAAAAAAAACTTCCTACGTGCGTACATAAGTACACATACACGTTTTTTTCGTATTTCAATATTATAAGCGATAGCAGTGATTAAGGATAAAACTGCGAGACTATTTAATTGTATTATCATTCTACTAACAGGTATTAAAACTTCTAGTACATACATGCATAGCACTCGTAAGATGGCATGAGTGGTGTTAAGCATTATTAGTTTTCTCTATTACCACGTTTTTATTAACTTGCTATCTTTGCTCGTCTGTGGTAATTTTGCAAAAGATTTTATACTAACTTCGTAATATTTAGATACTTGAAACATTAAATAAATTTCTGAACTAGATAACAATGCATTATTATCTTACTTACTGTCTGTTTGTTTATCTGTTCTGTGAAAATCTTGCAATCAATTTTATACTAACTTTTAGCTTAGACAGAGACTTTAATTTTTACTTTTTAAATAACTTTTAATTTTTAAATAAAACTCAGAACTGGATAATAATCTATAATATAAAAATAAATCGCTGAATGTGTTGCTAAGCGCAAATCTCGAGAGCAGCTGAACCGATTTCGCTAATTCTTTTTTTATAATATTCCTTGAAGTACGAAGGTGGTTCTTACGGAGAGAAAAAAAATTAAAAAAGAATGCCTGAAAAAGTGTAAAAACAACACTTTTCTATATTCCCATACAAAAGATTCGTAATAATACTTAAAAATCAATTTGAATTTTAATACCATACCGTAAAATTTGTAAGTGTTAGTGGAGGGGTTCCGGGACGGAAAAACAATTAAGTTACGTTAGTATCGTATAAATATTAATGTCAATATTTGTCAATATTTATACACACTGGCAGATAGCTGATGTTATAAGGAGTAACTTGGGCTGCTTTTATTTTAGGGTTCCGCGAAAAGTAACTCCACGCGGGCGAAGCGGGCGAAGTCGCGAGGAACAGCTAGTTCAATATAATCTCACCTTATGTCTGTTTTCTTTTTATATGTTGGGTACACATCTTGCAATTGATTTTAAACTAACTTCTCGATAAGCTAAAGACTTGATATTTTAAATTTAGCTTAGAATTGGTCAACAAGACAATAAAATCTCACTTTCCATCTGTTTACTTCTTTACATATTAGGTACAAATTTTGCAATCTATTTAAAGCTAAATTCCTACATAAACACTTGAAACTTTAAATTTAGTTCAAAACTAGAAAACAACTCAATATAAGTTGACTTTCTGTCTCTTTGCTTATTTATATGTTGGGTTCAAATTTTTCAATAGATTTTAAACTAAATTCTCGATTAGTTAGAGACTTAAAATTTCAAATTCAGCTCAGAACTGGTTAGCAATGCAATATAACCTTACTTAATGTCAGTTCTCGATTAGCTAGAGACTTGAATCTTCAAATACAGCTCTGAACTGGATGACAATGCTAAATAATCCCACTTTCAATATTTTTTGTATATCAATATGGTACAAATTTAGTAATTGGAAACTAACTGCACGGTGAGCTAGACACTTGAAATTTTAAACAGCTAAGAACTAGAAACGTGTTAAAATATGTAACTATTTCAAAAGAAAATGATAACCATAACAATTACCCTTTTTATGCTTTCAGGTATATCGCTGTAACGCAGCCAATAAAATATGCAAAGCACAAGAATAATAGACGTGTGTGGTTCACCATAGTCCTCGTGTGGCTAATTTCAGCTGCCATCGGCGCCCCAATAGTACTAGGTCTCAACGATACACCCGACCGCAACTTCGATGAATGCCTCTTCAATAGTCAGAACTATGTATTATATTCATCAATTGGATCGTTTTATATTCCTTGTATAATGATGATGTTTCTGTATTACAATATATTTAAGGTAAGTGTTAAATTTTGATAATAATTTATTACGATATTTATTTAATAAGGGTGACAAACGAGTACACAGTCCACTTGTTGGAAAGCGGAGACTGTTGCCTATAGACATCAGCATCGGCAGACGTGTTGTCACCTCTGAGTACGAATATGAATTGCATCGTATTTAATTAAAAGGAACATACGAAACACAGCAGCATTAAGCTGCTATTTTATGCTAGTATAAATGATTGTACAAGATGATGATATAACATATTCAAAAAAAGAAATTTTTTGTACTAATATCGAAATAAAAAAAAATCACTCAACGAAATTGTTTCTTGGGTCGGCTAGGAAAAAAAAATCATAAATATTAATATTTTCTGATAGCCTTGTTCCAAAGCAAATATTGTTTTACTACAATGCCAACAAAACTATGCAGATATCTATATTATAGATCCATATATTATTGTAAATGTCGCATATGAGATTGTTGAGTAACAATACGTACTTTCTTTACACAATTTCACAAAACAAGAAAATGATTACGAAGCATGAAGCTTTTTAGTACAATATGTCTTTAGATATACATATTGTCGCTGAAATTATATTAAACAAAAAAGAGGAAGTGGTAATTACAGTAGTGTACGAAAACACAATGAACCAAAATAACTATGTCAATATATATCAAATGACAACTTATTATTTATTTGTAATTATGACAATTACAATTTAAGTTTAATTACAACATATAATATATAGTTTCCACGGCTGGGCACAAGCAAATTTTTGAGAGGGGTTACATAATTTTTTTTTTCAACTACCTAAGTCTTTATATTAAGGTTAATTTTTTGATGGAAGGTTAATTTTTAACAATTTGCAACGTGGTACAGCCACGTGCAGGTATATTACGGGTGCATTACGAATTGGTCGGCTCGACCGTGTTGGGACCATGCTTTCACAGAATACCAGCAAGAAATAGCAGAATAATTCAGTAATTAATAGTCAGGCGTAACTTTGCGAAAATCTGTTATATTAAAGATGTTAAAAATTAATTACGTATGACAAGTGCTTTGCATATAAACGAAGCATCTTCAGGTGGAATAGACTATGCGGCGGCTGACCTCTAAGGCTCAACGTGAGGTGACGGTGGTAATCGTTATGACACATTATTATATTTTATTACACAGACATTGTATTCATTTAATGTAAAATATTCAGCAAAAATGGTAATTTATGTACAATATAGTAGAAAAAATTTGGCCACATTTTTGCTTTTCAATATGGACATTCGTATCGAGCAATCCTTTTAAGATAAAACTTGTGTCGGCCAGTAAATAACGTCTTGATATAACTATATAAATCATAAACGACGTATGTAAATTCCCAGACATTATTTATCACTAGTCTCAAGAACATATTTTAATCTATCTTCATGTTCTACGGTTTGTCGTGGTAAGGTCTTGTTGCAGCTATATTATGGTTGTAGTACGAATGGGTCGGCTCGACCGGGGAAGGACCACGCATTCACAGAATACCAGCGTAAAATAGCAGCCCAATGCTGCTGTGTTGCGAATGATGAGTATGGAGAATCGAAGACCTTTTTTACTAAATACGAGATATTCCGTCTTAGTCATATCGAGGATAAATGTAGATGTCCATGGGCAACAGCATCCTTTTACCAACACGTGGGCTGTGTGCTCGGTTGTCACCTTTGTTCTATAAAAAAATGAATTTTATTGACCTAACCTTTTATTTGTTTTCAACAGGCGCTTAGAAAACGAGCGAAAAAGCAACGAGCTGCTAAGAAGCCTCCCATTTCCGGGGATCCTCTAACCGGTGTGACGACTGCCGTAGTCATTGAAAATGTTGCACAGACGAGGCAACTGGCAGAAACCGCCTTACACGACGACCGGCCCACCAACACCGGTTCAGGGAGCAACGAGGATGACCACGATGATAGGTATATTTATGTTTTATATCTTTTGTTATCCAAAATAATGGAACCCACTATAAACTGCCAGCTCATGACCTACCTTCAGGGTACCTTCAGGGTCACCAGCTGATTAGTAACTGCCAATACGGTTTTCCTCGGGGTCGATCAGCTGGTGATCTCCTAGTCTACGAGTACCTAACTCATAGATGTGCGGAGGCAGTAGAATCCAAACGGGAGGCATTGGCCGTTAGTTTGGACATAGCGAAGGCATTCGATAGGATCTAGCACAAAGCGTTTCTGTTGAAGCTCCCTTCCTATGGGCTTCACCGGAAATTGTGCAATTGGATCACCAGTTTTCTTGCTGATCGGCGCATTAAGGTCGTATTAGATGGTGCATTTTCTGATGACAAGCCTATTAATGCTGGTGTTCCACATTGCTGCATGCTCTCACCAACGCTGTTTCTTCTGTACAGCAATGATATGTTGCAAACTGATAAGGTGCGTGAGGACTAAGATGGAATGCCTCTTTGCCAGTAAAAAGGGTGTCCGGTTCTCTACACTCACCATACGAAACACAGCAGCGTTAAGCTGCTATTTTACGCTGGTTTTCTGTTAGAGCGTGGTCCTTCCCTGGTCGAGCCGACCTATTCGTGCTACAACCATAATATAGCTGCAGCATGGCTCTACCACGTAGTATATATATACTTCCCGCTGAACATAGGCCTCCCCCATCCTGCATGGCATGGTCCTGAGCCATGTACATCCTTTGACTTAATGCATATCTTACCACGTCCACGGGGGCCGCCACACGCTTCGCCTACCGGTACGAGGCTGCCACGCGAGAACCTTGTTTCACCTTCGGTTGTCGGTTCCCCAAGGTATATGGCCCGCCCATTGCCACTTCAGCTTATCCGTTGGGCTATAGCGGTTACTTTGGTTGTATTGCGAATATAATCTTTTTTAATTTTATCACTGTTATTCGTTAACTCATTTAAGCTGATATAACGATTTGAAATCAAGAAAGCGTTTAAAAATATCTACTTTTATACGTCCTTAGTATCCGAACGATATACAGTCCTTTATAAATATTAATTCTGTTTTTAATTCGCAAGCATTATTATGTATCTCAAGTTATTACGATTCGCACACACCACTCAGCTTCATGCATATTCATGACACGGTCAATCCACACAACATTTTTCGGTCAACTTTTTTTTCGTTTCGGTGACATACTTCCCATGTTAGCTGTCTCCTGTCAATGTTTCATTTTTTTTTGAAGGATTATTATTCTGCGCTAAATACCATATGGCTTAGGGCCAATACTTTATTATACTTATAAATATATGTAAATGAAAATGAAGTATCTATCTGTAATATTGTCGTAACTGGTTTTCTATTTAGCTCAAATCCATTTGTATGCTATTAATCTCTGTCTGTCTGAATCTCCGGGCTCGGAATGGCTGAAACCATTGTAAAGAAACTTCACTAACAGATAGAGATAAATGCCAGGAGTGACTTAAAATATATTTTATCTAAAAATCTTGGAGACTTTTCGGATACCAAAAAATGAATAAAAAAATACTATTGGCAAATCCAATTGTTCCCTAAGCGCACACAAGTTTTTACTAATAACCTTATTATTATACTTCCAATTTTCCAATAATTTAATGTCAAACTTCAAATTTAAATAATATTAAACTGACGCGCTTCGTTTAAATTAATACCAATCAATATTTCAGCCAATAGCGTAACAACAAAGTACATAAAATTAACATTAGCCACTAATGAATTCAGGCAATTATTACATCTAGTATGTTTTAAAAATATAATTTCGTACAGTTTAATAAAAATAACACTTCAAAAGATTTAACGGCAAACAATTTATTTAATATGATAATTTTCAACCACTATTTGAGCATAAAATATTGGATATAGGTTTGATTTTATAGCAAATATTTGTTACAATCCTCATTTTTGGACATGTGAAGCCTAAAGAACAATGGCATACTTTCATACAGAAAATTAGTTAAGAATGAATGATAGCGTGTATATATCAAAACTATCTTAAAATGTTAAGCATTACTCCCTTAATAATTATGTTAAAGTATTTTGTCCCGAGAAGGCGTCAAACAAAAGATATTTAGATCTGAAACTTTTTAGGTTATGTCTTATGTCAATTGGAAAAGTCATGCGTCCTGTGGTTGTTTGATGTTAGCTTATTACATTCTGAACATAATTTGCCCTACCTACACAATTGAGAGTTTTTAGATTATTGTATCTCTATTATATATTTGCATACTATAAATGTATATTTCTGGTATAGCTCCAGGGCCTTTGTGTCATACAGTGACAGTCTGAGAAGGGCTAGAACCCAGAGCCGTAAAGCCAGTAAAAAAAACATTGAAATTTTTTTTTTGGAGTTTATGGCCTGGTATCTAGACCTTTAGGCCAAGTCTTAAGTATTTTTATTCGGTTTATTGTAATTTTCCCACTCCTTCATAGTATACTGCTTCACAATATGTTGATGCGTCACATTGTGCAGTTCTTGGGAGATTTTGGCGGCAACTTGATCCAGCAGACAGCTGATAGTTGGCGATGGTATCTAAAGGTGCCTATGCAAACAAACAGCTTATCTTGAGAATCCATCACCATCAGAGCACTTGTTTCACTGTTTCCACTAATAGTTCACATGCGTAGACACTTAATACACAAAATCGCAACACTTTTACATATCAAAGTCCACTTCAAACCATTATTTAAACAATAATACAGGAGCAGCAAACCGCCGCCGGTCAATTTCCCGCCAAAACTCCCAACATTGATATTTTGTTTTAGCTAGTGTTGCCATAACATTAAATGGAATTGTTACATATTAATATGATTAAGATTTTTTTTTTGTAGGAAGTTCTTTGTAAAAGACTTCTTTTCAACCATATCACTTTTATTATAATTAATACTGGTAGTATAGTTACTACTAATAATAACTTGATATAAAAATATTTTGCGTTTGTGTGTTGCATTGGTAGTCTTACAAAGTGTATACGAAAATAGTATGAATATAGTAAATGGCAACACTTGATTAGAGTAAAATGATTTAAGCCATTTGATATTCCCAAAAATGTTTTTTTTTTCTGTGGCTTTAATTAAAATACATTTTTATTTGAAAATCGTAAAAAAATAATAAGACTCATTTTATATATAACTTATTTCTAGACGCAATAATTTTTACCAACTATTTTTCTGCCATTGTTCTTTTAATGTAATAAATCAAAAAAAATACATGTATTGATGTTTTTAAAGAACGTTTTTTTTTCGAATACAATGGCTTTGTAAACAGCCGTCTACTTCATTCAATTGGTAAAGTCATTTTATCGAACGAAAATTGATCGACTCTCACGGTGGTACGTAAGGAAGACGCTAGATGGCATAAATACGGCTAATATAAATCAGTAACGTCGTGGATTCTTTTGAATGGACTGGAATATGATAATTTTATTCAATATGGTTAATTTTATTTATTTAACAAATTTCTTAATTTTTTTAACTATCTGTTTCAAAGGTTAAATATATATTAACCATCTTTACTATACAGTATATTATCTATGGCCCAGAGTGAAGAAGACAAAGTGTATTTAGTAAAATAACACAAAAAATAACAAACTCGGCACATCTAGTTCTCCTTGTCAAGGAGTTCCAGTGTATCATCAAAGTACACTTTCAAGTCACTTTGTCAAGTCCGGAGGTAAGGTCTATTCAAACTCGGCACATCTAGGTCCCTTCGTCGATGAGTTCCAGTGGCAGTCTTCAAAGTACATTTTCAAGTCACGCTATCAAGTCCGAGGGTAAGGTCTCATCATAACTAACAAAACGAGGCCAAACTCGGCACATCTAGTTTTCCTCGTCGAGGGGTTCCAGTAGCAAATACCGTCACACCTTTAGGTATATAAAGTCCAAGACGTATATGTATATTTATTTATATATAAATCCTGCGTGCTTTTAGCGAAACAAAATATTGTAATAAAAATCTGTGATTATAAAAATAATAATAATACCTTGAACAAGTATGTATCAAATTTGGTTTTTGGATTATTTTGTATTTCTGCGGCGATCGATATTTTTCAGCACGAGCCGCTGTAACAAACGACCACTCACGATGGCATTTGAGGCCGAAGTAAATAAAGTACTCCGTGGCTGTGGCTCGGAGTGCGGCTTCGACCTATTTAGTAAAATAAATTAATACAAGGTTGCTAAAATCACCGAAAAGTTTGCCACTTTGGAGCCGAATAAAATTAATTTTAGCTAAACAAAACAAAATTAAACTGCCATTTACATTCAATGGCTTTCCACATGATAGATGAAGAGTTTTAAAAATGATTGAGTTGAACAATTGATATTTTCAAAAATTATCGTGTTTACGCCGCCATGTGGACTTGATAAATCCACACCATAAGCCACTAACACCCCTTTTTATGTAAAAATGGCAATAAGTCGATTTAAAAAAATATTAGTAAGTTCAACAATCATTTGTCTTTCTGACAATGTGCTTTTTATATCATTTATATGTATAATGTAATTGCTTGATACGCTTTCATGCGACAAAACGTTGCAATCTCAATTTTTAGGCCCTAGCAGAACATACCTGCGCGCTTCGCGCGTAAGGCATGCAATAAATGGCATTTGATGATTATCTTTAATATTAGTAACTCCAATTTAACAGATCCTACACAGGCGAAGGCGGGAGAGATTGCTAGTTAATTAATATTTGAAAAAAAGAATAAAAGTGCACATTTCGATAAAAACAATATTTTTTACTTGATTTATTACAAATAGAAGAAGAAGATTTACAGAAATATATTTTCAAAAGGCATTTTGACTTTCGTAAGTATCTGTAATAAATATTTTATTAACAAATATCAATAGGGTTCATCTAAAGGGTAATTGGAAGCTTTTGTTAAGATGGCTTTAGTTGATTTATAGTTTCGTTTATTTATCATCTTGTTAACAAAACTCAAAGAACAATCGACAGT